AAAAAAAAAGCAAGCTAAGTCGTTTTTATTTTGCACCTTTTTACATTTTTCAGGATTTCTGACGGATGGCAGCACTAGCTTGCCGGGCAATCTGGGTCTCTGGGATCAAATAATGGCTTTACAGTTTGTTCACGATAATATAGCTGCATGGAATGGCGATCCAAAGCGAGTGACCATCATGGGGCATAGTTCCGGTGCTATATGCGTTTCAGCGCTCACGCTTTCGGCTCATGCCAACAGTAGGAATTTTTAGTTTTAAATTAAATTTAATGCTGGAACTCCCTCCACACTCTTCCTCTATAGTACTCGAACCTTGGTCAGACCCAATTTTATGTGTTCATCTAATCGTTAACTAAATTGCTAGCCTGCGTATCTGCGAATTCTGAGTGGTTATTATTCCGCTTCTGGAGGGAGTCTTTCACTGGCAAGCGACATCACCCTTCAGTAGTACTTTTTCAGAAAAACTTAATGCCATCCATGTTCTAATCACATGTTATGAAACTGTATTTGCAGCGCTTTTCCAGCGTGCAATGAGTCTGAGCAATCCGGCACTTGGCGGATCGTTTTCCGAACAAGTCGTTCAGGACGGCAAGGAATTCATCGAAGCTACGGGTTGTAAATTGGAAAATAATGAAAAAACAATGAAATGTCTGAAACGGCTAACCATTGACGAGTTGCTGGATGCACAGGACCGCGTTGTAAGTTTTTTTCGACTGCTCTTAATGAATGAATGAATGAAAACACCGATAAGTTTTTCCGACACTTGCCTTTAATCTCACTGCTGCTTCGCAAACGAAAAATTTGAACAAAGACAAGTTTCTCAGGAAAATTGCCTCAGTTCACTGACAGCAACTGAGTCAATGAACTCATTTTTTGGTTACTAAGGTAAAAGAAACTTATAACAGTGCAGAATATGGCATCCCACAAACAAGCAACCTACGGGCCAGCTCAGCGAGGTAATTGAAAATCGTGAAAGACAATCGTAGAGAGCATAATCAACAGAGCGAAATATGAAATCGATTCAGGAGCCGGCCTCCATTCTCATCAGCATCTAGTCGCCTAAAATGGAACCAACCCGCTCTCACTGCCTCCATCTGGAGCCCACCTCCACTTCCAGATGAAATCGCATGAGCGAATTAAGTCTAGGATGTGATGAAGATGCAAGATAGATAGTTTCACCGAATTGCCTTTATATTGTTATTGTAGCGCAACATTTTACCACAATGTTACATACGCTTCACGTAGTTTGAAGATTCCGTAAAAAAATTCACATAAATTCGAAGCACAGGTAACTAGTA